CCTCCTGCCGGCCTGGGGAGGGGCGGTGTCCCGCCTGGCGCGGCGTGAGCGGCCAGTGAGCAGGCGCCCTGGAATCGCAGGCCCCTGGCTGTTCCGAGGTGGAAGTTGGCCCCCTTCGCGGGTCGCGCGGCCCGTTTGAGGCTTGCTGCTGACTGGCGTGGCCTGAGCTTTTCTCACGTGTGTCTTTTTCGGGAGGATCCTCCCTCTGTCGGCCTGGCTGGGGGGCTGGAGTGCAGGGCCACGCTCTCTACCCGCTGGGCTCAGGCGATCCTTCCGCCTCAGCCTCCGGAGTAGCCGGAGCCACCGGCGCGCGCCACCACACCCGGCTGATTTTTTGATTTGTTGTAGAGATGAAGTCTCGCCGATTTGCCCAGACTGGTCTCGAACCCCTGGGCTCAGGCAGTCCTCTGGCCTCGGCCTCCCAAAGTGCTGGGATGACAGGCTTGAGCCACCGCACCTGGCCTCATTTTTTTTATTTAATTTTTTTTTTTTGAGTAGGAGTCTCCCTCTGTCGCCTGAGCTGGAGCTCAGTGGCACGCTCACAGCCACTGCAGCTGCAACCTGCCAGGCTCGGGTGATCCTTCTGCTTCAGCCTTCCAAGTAGCTGGAACCACAGGCGAGTGCCACCACACCCGGCTAATTTTTTTGATTTATTGTAGAGATGAGGTCTCACCAAGTTGCCCAGGCAGGTCTCGAACCCGCGGGCTCAGGCAATCCACTCACCTCAGCCTCCCAAAGGCGCGGGATTACAGGCTGAGCCACCGAGCCCGGCTCTGATCTTTCTTAAAGAGGCTTTTGTATTTTGTACCATGGCACATATAGTGTTAGCTGTCTAGATGTTTTGATCTAGTTAGAAGCAAGGCTTAAGGTTAGAGGTTGAAAGCAGTGCAAGTGGCCAAGGCTTCAACTACTGAAAGCATCCAGATTGTGAAGGATCCTACCCTTTTCGTTGTAACTTGGGTCATGGGAAGGAAACTTGCTTGGAGGGAAGGATTCAGCCAAACTTAAAGGAGAGTATCCAAGGCTGAAAGGTGGGATATATTTGCAGGAGTGTGGGACCAGCCTGTCTGAATTGGTGGTGGGTTTATGGTAAAAAGATCTGGGTGAAGAAGAGGATATGGCAAGAACAGGATCTGATCGAGGAGGACTTTAAGGCCAGGTCAACACGTTTTGGCTTGATCTGGAAAGTAATAGGAGTTTTGGGGCCCTCATCAGCAAGGGCAACTGCCCAACGACAGTGAACATCCAGGCCTGAATTCCACCCCACATCTTTCAAAGGACAGAATTTTTTAAGAGAGGAAGTAATAGTTTGGGAGGTTTTTTGGGCAGAAACATGTCCCTGATGAATGGCACGATCTAGATGTGAGACTGGGCTGGTGGCCTTGAAGGAACAAAGAGAAAAGAGGATTTAGGAACCAGGATATCTTGGTAATAACTAGCTAGAGGTCACAGGGGAAATACTTCTCCATCCTGCGAAGCCCAGAACAATGATGGTGCCTAAAAGGAAATTGAGAAAGGAAGCAGATGGGGAAGGAGGTGGACAAGGGGAATTCAGATGGACTGACTCTTATGGTTCGGGGTTACTTACTCTAAGCATCTTCCCAATAATACCTCAAGCAACCCTCACAGCAAGCCCATGAGGAAGGTACTGTTGTCCCCAGTTTACAAAAGAGGAAACAGGTACAGAAAGTCCAGCAGAAGGAACTAAACCTATTGGGAGGCCCATACGGAGGAGGTGGGAAGAGGAAGTTGAGGCAGTCACCAGAAAAGAGGATGCCCAGGCCACTGTCGCATCGTTTACCCGAGGCACAGGTAGAAGGAGGGGTTCAGGGGCAGAGGGGATGTTTGCATTTCAGATTCTGCAGACAGGGCAACCAGCGGGAAGACAGAAAATGATAGCACCTTTAGCAAGTCAGTGCTAGGCCAACGTTGACTTTGGAGAACGTGGTTTTATCAAGTAGGTGGGGACAGGGCACGAGACCCACTTTCAAGAGGCGAGACGAGCACAGTCCTTAAAGCGATGGGTGAGTCGCTGCTCACCGGGGAAGCCTGGTATGATGAGAAACAGGATGGCATCGAGAGGGTGACCCCACAAACTGGGTGACTTGGGCTTGTCAGAGAGTGGGGAGGGAGACGGTCCAAGGGTACTGTGCCTGGAACCTTCCCGAGTCTGCGCCTTGACGTCTGCCCTCTCCCCTCCCCCCATCGGCGTGCAGTCGTCCGGGGATCTCGAGAATGACGAGCGGGCCGCCAGCGCCATCTCTGAGCTGGTCAGCACAGCCTGCGGCTTCCGGCTACACCAAGGCATGAACGTGCCCTTCAAGCGTCTGTCTGGTGAGCCCCAACCCTGCCCTGGTGGTGGTGGGAGTGGGTGCGGCAGGGTGCTTCCAGAAGCTGCTCAGGGAGAAAACACCTCTCCCCTTCCTACCAACCTCCCACCATCTCCTCCTGGTCTGGCCGCTTCTTCCTTTTGGGATTCTCCCTGTATCAAAATTGAATGCCAGAAAGCAAGAGAAGGAAGGGGCTTTAACAAAGACAACTCATCTTCAAGTCTCTGAGCCTTGAGCTGCAGAATCTCTGGCCTTTGATTCTAGCCAATTTGTGTGACCCTGCGGAGGCCACTGCACCTGCTAACTCTGTGCTCCCTTCCCTCTCTCGGGGTGGGGGAAGGTGTGTCTCTCCTCCAGTGGTCTTTGGAGAACACACGCTGCTGGTGACCGTGTCGGGACAGAGGGTGTTTGTGGTGAAGAGGCAGAACCGAGGCCGGGAGCCCATTGACGTCTGAGCTTGCCAGAGGGCGCGGGTTCAGGGGGACTGGGGCTGGGCCTCTGTGATGAGGAAGGCCCAGCTGTCCCCCACCTCATTCTCGGCGTGAACTGGGGCCTTGTGATCCCCCATCCCCACCCCCACCTGGAAGGGCAGAGGCTTGGGAACTTGGCACTGTGTTAAGGAGAACAAGGGGAGGCTCTCCCTAATAAACATGAGTCTGATGTTCTCCAGTCGTGGATGTGGGGGGGGGCTGGGGGGTGCTTACACCCATGTCCGTCTTCTGCTTTCTGGGAAGGAAGTCCTGTGCCACAGTCCAGAGTATGTGGGGCAGGCCCACCTGGACCTCATAAAACTGGGAATCAGAGAAAGGTGGGCGGAGGGGGGAGCTGCAGGGAGTGGCCCCGAGCCCCAGTGGTCTCTGCCGCTGCCATCAACACACAAGTCATTCTTCTCCTTCCTGAACAGCATTTAATAGTCTTATTTCAGTTGGAAGCAGTAGTTGGAGAATAAGTTACAGGAACAGACCCAAAAATACAACTTAAAGTGCTTTAGGCTGCAAACGTAAACATGAAGGGTGGAAGGAGGCCACCTAGCCGTGTCCCCAACCCGAGACAGGAGGGTCATTGTCGGGGTCCCTTGCCATCACCACCCTCTAATCTCAGCCCTGGAGGTGGGTACGACGGAACGAGCAGGAAAAATAACCACATGAGAATGAGGAAAAGACTTTGTAAACTTAGAACCAGGGAAAAGGGCTGGGGGCAGGGGAGTTCCTGGAGCCCTCGCCCTGGCCTTGGGGTGGGGCCAGCCCCCCCAGGGGAACTTGGGGAATACTGTTGGCTTAGCCTGCAGCCAGACCCGCCCACTTCACAGCTTCTTCCCGTCCCTCAGCAGACACAGACAGGCGACTCTGCCAGGCTTCTTGGTCCCTGCCGGGAGGCAACCCAGGAGAGAACAGCCTGGGACTCCCTCCAGGGCATCTGTGGTCTCTGGAGTGTAAGAGGGAGCAGAGCTGGCGTGGTGCTACTTGACAGGCTCCACCACCAAGACCTTGCACTCGCGCTTGGCAATCTTATCCAGAGAGAGCACAGCCTTGTCCGGGGGCAGGTAGAGAGGACGGCCGACAGGGGAGGCCACAGGGGGCGTGATGGCCCTGCGCTCCATCACACTGCCTGACCTGGGGGAAGGCAGAGGCTGTGGGCTCCGGTCAGACCCAGCAACCCCCGCTCCCGCCTCTGCCCGTTCCGAGGTGGCGCCTCCCCGGTGCTGTACCTCATGAGGTGGCTGCGGGAAGGCTGCTGGTGGGAGAAGGACTGGGAGCGGCCCAGGCTGGCCTGGTGCCTCTCCACCAGGTCCCGGACGGCAGGGCTGCTGGGGCTGCTCTTCCGAGAGAGGGGCCGGGCCTCCGGTGGAGGGTGGGACACGCTGGCGGTGAACTGCAGCTTCAGTTTCATGTGCTGGCTCAGCTGCAGGGGTGGGCGGGACAGGCAGATTAGCCTTCCAGCTGGCTTCCAGGACTCAGACCCTCCTCCAAAAGACCTTCCCCACTTGGCAGGCCGACGTCAGGCCTCCCCGATTCCTCCCACCCCAACATTCTGCATCACCCAGCACTCAGCCTTCCCCAGCCCACCTCAAAGAGCCCTGTCCTCAGAGCCTGGAAGGCCACACTGAAGGTGAGCGCACTGCCCTTCCGGGAAAAGCCGAGGTTGTTGAGGGGTGTGTGGCAGACGATGGAGTCCAGGGCTGCCTGCATGGCCCGGCGCTCTTCCTCACACAGCTGCTTTCCTGGGGGCAGAAACGGACCAGGGAACACCACAGCGTTCCTCAGATCCCAGAGGGCCTTCGCGCGGGCAGTGTCATCTGATCCTGAAAGCCACTCTGTGGCGTAAACTGAATGAATGTTCTCTCGCCACACGTTACAGATAACAGCACACGCTGTGTACTGAGGTCTGTTGTAACCCCTTCACATATTCACATATGTTAACTCAGTAATCTGCATGACAACCCCATGAGTTATTTGCCCTATTTTGGAAGTGAGGATTCTGAGGCCCAGAAAGGTTAAGAAACTTACCCAAAGTTAGTTACACAGCTAGCAAATGAGAGGTGGAACTCAAACCGAGTGCAGCTCCAGTGTCTGTGCCCTTAACGTCACTCTGCCCACTGCCTGCCTAAACTCTCCATCTGTGACTTTGTGGAGACCATCCAGGTGCAGAACCAAAGCCACCTGCCACAAGCCAGCCGCTCTAGGCTGTTTTCCTGCTCCTGCCTCCGTGGTTTCTTCCTTCCGCCTCCCCGCCCTCCGGACCAGGGCCGAGCTGACAGGCGACCTACCGGCCTGCGCGTGCTCCGGGGTCCATACGAGCCTCACAGCGAGGAAGTCTTGGAGGTTGTTGAGCAGCGTGTAGGTAACAGTGAAACGCTCGTAGGTCCGAACGGGCGACTCGCAGGACGCCGTCATCACAAAACACGGGCGGTCCAGGCGGATGCTGGGCAGGCTAAGAGCAGCGGGCGAGGGGAGCTGGCTGTGTGTGTCCGGCGACAGGGAAGCAGGACAGTGCCCTGTGGGGCCCCACACACTCACCGATAGTGGGTGTAGATGCTCTGGGTGAAGGGCAGCTTTGGGGTGGACCACTGAACCACAGCCACCAAGGGAACTTCTAGGCCCTGTGGGAGGGAAGGAGGGAGGCTCCCTGGGCGTGAGTTCCCCTCCCGCCTGCAGGCAGCCCCCAGGTCCTTCCCTCACTGCTTTTCCCTGAACACAGCGGCCCCTTGAGCTCACCTCCTTGGCCCCTGGAGGGGGCTGCTCGCCCCCCCTCAGCTGAAACAGGAAGTTGTGTTCCTCCAGGGCACTAAGCGGGCAGGGGAAGCAGCCAGAGGTTCCAGGGAGCCGGCAGAAGGAGCCCATGGAGACTTCCCCAGACTGGTGGCTAGCTCAGAACAGAGGACAGGATGTCATCCCCCCATGCCAGAGCCCAGCGCCTGGTCCTGTCCCCACCATTCCCCAGCACTGCCCCTCCCCTGGGCCTCACCAGACATTGTCCACCAGCAACACGGAGCCGTCGGGCATGACAGGTAGATAACTGGCGTTGAAGTTGGGAAGGATTCGGAGATCCCAGATGGAGATTTCCTCCTGGGAGGAGCTGTTCAGCACTGTCAGAGGCAGCCAGCTCAGCCAGCGTAGCTGGACGCTCAGGCCCCACCCTCACCCCAGAAAAGAGAGACCAGTTCCCGCCAGCCTGCCCAGAGCAACTGTCATCCAGCCTGTTCCCTTGCTGCTGCCCCAGACTCGAGCTGGCAGGTCTGCTCACCCTTGAGCACAGTCAAGTGTTTTCCAGCCACAGTGAACTGCCGGCATTTCAGAACTGGGGGGGGCAGCAGAGTCAGCAGGGTGCTCACTGCAGGAGAGGCGAAAGACGACGGTCTGGACGCAGACAGCACCTCCCACCGCAGTTGTCACCCTCCTCTTCCCAGGTCCCGCCAGCCTCTCTCCAGTATGACCCCCTCCCCCAGCCTGCCTCCCAAGTCCCAGACTCCAGCCTGGCCCCTCTGAGTTCTCCCCACCTTGGGCCTTGAAAGCACTCTGCTCGCCCCGGAAGGTCTCCCCAGGAGCTCGAGTCTGCAGCAGCCGAAGGTAGCCCTGGTCTCTGACCTCTGGCGCCTCAACTTCCCGCTTCCACACGGTCACCACGATCTGGGGAGGGAGAGACAGACGGCCGAGCCTCGAGCCGGCGGCTGACCCGGAACGGCTCTGCGCCTGCGCACCCTACCTTGGCCTTGGGTGTCCCCGGGGGCAGTCTATCCAGGGAAACGGTGAGAGGGAAGATGACCTCGTCCGTGGACACGATCGGCTCCTCCGCAGGCAGCTGGGCGCGAGGGGTGGCGAGGTCAGCGGCTCGAAGGCAGCCTGCG